AAAATCATGATCTTCGACCTCCAAAACCCCCACTCACCAATTTTGAATGGAATACCAAATCTTATCCGCCATCAATTAAAAAAAAATGGCTGGTCCAAGATGGTGTGTAGTTAATGACAAAATCACGCGGCTTGTCGGATTTTCATATGTAAATTAAATTGTCACTAATAATATCACGAGAGCTTCAATTATTTCCAGATGTTTTTTCGAGAACACGAATATTTTGAAAATTCCCCCGAGTCGAAGACGAGGGAGAATTTTTTGAATGTTCGTGTTTGAAAAAAAATTCCCGGATATTGATTGAAGCTATAGTGGAAGTCGGTAATAAAATTTCACACCAACGTTTTCGATCAATTTAAAGGAATTTCGACAACACTTAGATGATTTAGTTGAAAATGATTGTTGTTTGCGATGAAATGTAAGAACTAACGTATAGTAACAACATGTAATGTCTGGCTCCACCATCCCCACCAAGCTCACCATATCTATGCTCGGTATTTCCATCAGCAACACTCTTTCATGGGATAATCTTGTCAGATCCATCGCAAAAGCTGCTTCACAAAAACTCGGATTCTTGTTCCGTACGAAAAGCTACTGTACACCTCAACAGCTTCTCATGATCTACAAAGCGCAGATACGGCCTGTTCTAGAATACTGTTCCCACATATGGGGTTCAGCACCAAAACATACGCTGATGCTCTTAGAATCCATCTATAGAGAGGAGCCATTCGCCTGGTGGGTGACGCCACACTCACTTACTCTTTGACATCATTGGAACACCGTAGAAAGGTCGGCGACCTTTCACTCTTCTATCGATACTTCCACGGGAAATGTTCTTCGGAAATCTCTGGTATCATCCCTTCACTAGCAATACCAATCAGACGAACTAGACAAGCCCAGTCAGCACATCCTTTCGTTGTCAACCTCGAAAGATCTAGAACAGCACTTTATCAAGACTCCTTCATCCATAGAACGGCTAGGCTCTGGAATTCATTGCCTGTGGAAGTATTCCCAACAACATAATATAGTCTCCAGAAGTTCAAAAAAAATTCCAATACCCACCTCCTGTCCCTATATCCTCCTTAGGAACGCACGATGTTCTTTGAACATTACAGGGACTCCCTTTCGTACGCTCCAAGCGTTAAAAACAAATGTGTCATTGTAAATTTCGAATTCGCAAGTATACCTTCATAATATTATATGGTGAACTGTTAATAAATGATTTTTATTTATTGACTTATAGAAACTCGATAATCATATAATCTGGAGTTGAATGTAAATGTCATTTAACCTATAAACGTCAAAATATTTCCAGTGTAATTTCATGCTCCCCAAGGAGGAGGAAGAACTTTCCAAGAAATGTGTTTAGTTGCTATGGTAACCATAGGAAATACAGTCTTTAAATTGATCGAACATGTTTGGTGTGAAATTTTCAGTTCATTTGAATATTGCTTCATGAATATAGGAGAGTGGGATTTCTGTGGTAGGAGTTTTTTTCCTTTTCTTTATTTCAAGGTTTATATTTTTACTGTGTGTCTGTTTATCTGTATGTTTGCCTTGAAGCTTTTCTAGTAACCATATTTTGCTAGTCGAGCATTATTATTTCATTCTTTATTGAATTAAAAATACATTTCTACTCACCGTGTGTACAAAAATAGAAAATAATGCTCCCTTTCATTGTGGCATCCTCCCTATGTGGTAAATTCGCTAACACAATTGAATCTACTCTCCTATAAAGATCAACAAAACATATTTCTATGAAAGCTGTATATAAGGGAACAGACGGTGATTAGTTTCCCCCGGTTTCTCAGTAAATCCAATGAAATAGCGATGCCCAGGGAGCCAGTAATTTAATTGTCTAATATCATCGAGGGGCCTAGACATGACCGGCACCCAAACGACCAGATATATTCTCCGAGCTAAGAAGCTAGCAGTTATGAAAGCCACATGAAAAAATAATTTTCTCTTTCATTCCGACTTTTATTAGTCGGTTGGATACTGTTTGTTCGTTGTTTAGTGCGTTCTGGCCCCTAGATTTCATACGAAAAAAAAAAAAGGAATTGTTGAATCAAGCGAAATTTAATTGAATGAAGCAAATAAAAGTGTCATATATGCCCGCCAAAACATAAGCTTCCAATGAGTGAATCTATATCTTGTTTCTGAGCAAATTTGAAGTTTGAATTGAGTGAATATGTCTTGCATGAACTCTGGATCTTATTCAGTCAAGCACATCCATGAATTTTCCATGGAGAGATATTGAATTGGCTCAAACAATCATTTTGTTTGATTCAAAATGACAAGATATTGATTCGATCAATTATTTAGTCAATTCAATGAAATATTTGGTTGATTCAAAGAAATATTTGGTTGATTCAATGAAGTATTTGGTTGATTCAATGAAATATTTGGTTAATTCATTGAAATATTTTGTTTATTCAATGAAATTTGCTTGAATCAAGAGAAACTGTATTTTCAGTCGACAAATTGTTTTATTTAACCAAATTCAGTAATGATTCGGGAATTTTCTGGAATTTATCATAAAAAGAATAAAATAAACTAGTGAACTATTCAATTCCTAGCATAGATCTCCAGTCTTTACTTCTCTTCAGCTGATTCAAAACTGTTTCGGAGCGCTAATCATCCTAAGTTCGATTTTTCCAGTTGATATTTCAAACACGAACAATCAGGCTTCACGTATATGTATATAATGAATTCGAGGCAGGCATAGACGAGGTGAAATGATCGCCATTCAGAGGCGAAAATTCACTTTGATGTAGATATTTCTTTGAAATTACATATTTCGTTGCTCTATTCAAGCAAATGATCCGTTCGGAACGAGTTCATTGTTACATTGGAATAAAAAAACTTGTATGTTGTTTCAAAGATATATTCTCATAAAAATAATCATTATTTCATCAAGTCAACAAACTATGTAGAGTTCAATCAACATTGACATCATTTTGGATCGACATATTTTGTTTTCGAGAGAACCATATATTTTGTTGATGGAATTGATATAATAATGTTGATTCAATTAGACTACATTCTTGAATTAAACAAGCTGCTTCCATGAAATAATCATGTATCTGATTGATTCAACAAAAATTTGCTCAGCCCTACAAAAATAATTCAAACATAAATAATTTGTTGATGCAACAAATCCTTTTTTTTTCCGTGCAGAACTTGACAGGGACTTGCGTGGACATATAGATTGGCTGCCATTTTGAAAGGCTTTAAGATGAGAGGGAGTGTCTTCTGAGTCCTTGAGACTACCTTTTGGATACATGAGTTCTTGTGGAAGCAATAACGAATATATCATATAATAATTGAGGAACACCGAGTTGATCATGAATCACCCTGTAGATTTCAGAAAAGTTGATATTTTGTATTTATCATCATCGAGAATCTTCATGATCTCCCTATATGTATATATATATCTTAACGAAATCATGTTTTAACGGTATCAGCTATCTTTGGAAATTAACAGTTTACTCGAATATACAGGATCTGTCTCTCGATGTATTATGTATCACAAGTTTTTTGAATCATCCTGTATGGGATGTATGAAGTGTGATTCATGATGCAATGAAAATAGCATATTGTATGCCATAATAATCTTCTCGGTATTTCATTATTATACATCGAATTTTCAGACATCATTGAAATGTTTATATCTTCCACTCTGTGAATAATAACATAATGTGAACAATTTGAATTATACTTGAAGTGATATGAAGGTACGTCAATAATATGTGCGAATAATAATGTACGCGATGGCGCCTTGAAATCCCAAGAAAATAATTAAATAATAACAATAACCAATTTTTATCTTCAATGACCTGTTTATCAAATTCTGCCTAACAACAAACGATTTTGCTCGTTCAATCTCAGATCATTTAATGGGGTCACGAGAGGCACCAATAATGGAAATATAACCACCAATTCGAGGGCATTCACCAATTATTGATGTGATGTGTTTCTAATATTTGGTGAATGCGTTTCAATATTATCTGAGACTTTTAGATAATTTGAATAGAATTGAATTGTGATAAATTGAAATTATTATGCAATCATCAATGTACAGGGTGTGCCATAATCAGAATGCAATACTCTGACAATAGATTGGTGGGAATTCGTAAAAGGTGGTTATACAGGGTGGAGACTTCAACTGGAATAAATTCGTTAACTGGAAGGTGAATACTTTTCTAAAAATTTCCGGCATACATCAGCGATTTAATGTATTTACCTACATTTTGCAAGCAATATCGAGAATATATGGCTCCAGGAGTAGCTGAAACCACCCTGAACATGACTTTTTCAAATATAACCCTATGGCTTTTGACCCCTCATTGGAAAGCTGGTTAGTTTTTCATACGTTGAAAGGTGGCACAAAATTGAAATGTAATTTCAAAATTTCCATGAATCGTATCTCATTTGGATTCATTCTTTGGAAATTTCAAACAGCACCACGTACGTAGTATCTTTCGAATTGGACGAAATGAAAAAGCCCTGCTGTTACCACAAATACAAATATTGAAAAAGTCGTAACTAATTAAAAAGGAATAAAAAGGTGACATCAGAGGCGTGCCAAGGTTTTTTTAGACTGGTCGAAAATAGAGAAACTAGAAATTAATCAAAATGAAATATAGAAGGTGACATCAGTGGCGTACCAAATTTTTTCCACAGGAGCAAAAATGAAAGAAGTCGAAATCAATTAGAATAAAATGAAAAAGGTGACGTCAAAGGCGTACCAAAATGTTTTGCAGAGGGGTCAAGAATTAAAAAAGTCGTAATCAATTAGAATGAAACAAAAAAGGTGAAATCAGAGGCATACCAAATTTTTTCCAGAGGGGTCGAAATGAAAAAACTCTAAATCAAGTTGAAATGAAAGACGTGACCCCAGATGCGTACCAAATTTTTTCTAGAGGGGTCAAAAATTGAAAAAATTCAAAATTTCCCAAATCATCCCCCCTTAATGACTTTTCTATTTTCTTTTCAAGGTCCACCTGTACTTCAGCGCCCTGCCCGAGGACAAGGTCCCCTACGTGAACTCGGCCGGGGAACGGTACCGAGTACGTCAATTGCTGCAGCAACTGCCCCCTCACGATAACGAAGTGCGCTACTGCCATGCGCTTTCGGACGAGGAGCGCAAAGAACTGAGGTTGTTCTCTGGACAGAGGAAAAGGGAGGCACTGGGCAGGGGGGCAGTAAGGCAGCTGCCCGCCCCCGTGCACTGCGATGCGGTGAGTTTTTTTATTTTATGTTCTGGTTCCCACGAAGAGGGATATCCTGTTATGTTCAGAGAACATTGTGAGAATCAAGGGAATAAGGTAGGAATTGGTGTTCTTTCTAAGTTTCTGGAGGTTATATGCCTCGGGGAACACCTCCCTTGGCAATGTGTTCCAGAGCCTCGCTGCTCGTTGAATGAACGAGTCTTTGGAAAAAGATGTTCTGCAGGTCTCCAAAGTGACCACGAAGGGGTGCGAAGTCTCAACTCGACGGGTTAATTTCTCGGAGACTGCCAAGGGAGGAACAATTGTTGATATTCCAGAAGAGTATATCGTCCTATCTATATATATATATATATATATATATATATATATATATCTATGAAATAGAGCCAGATAGCCAACTTTTCAACGGTGTTCCAGAGAAGTGAGTGAGTTTGTGAGCGAGGCATCACCCACGAGACGAATTGCCCTTTCTTGGACATAATCCAACAGTTTCAGGGTATGTTTGGGTGCTGCACTCCAAATATGCGAACAGTATTCCAGGACAGGTCGGATATGTGCCGCGTTTTGTAATTATGATCCGATTCTGTTCAAATTTGGTATCTAGGGGTTTCCGGAGTCGGAAATTATAATTTTTTTATCAAAATTGGAGAATTCAAAATGACGGATCCAATATAGCAGTCGAGTTTTGTAATTAGGATCAGATTCTATTCAAAATTGGCATCTGGAGGTTGTCAGGGTCGAAAATTATGATTCATTCATCAAAATTGGGAGATTCAAGTTTGCGGATCCCATATATGGCGGCTAAGTTTTGTATTTATCGGCCGATGCTATTCAAAATTTGTATCGGAGTCGGAGATTATGATTTAAGGAATCTAAGGAATTTTGAGGAAATCCAAGGCATTTTAAGGAAATCCAAGGAAATCCAAATAAATCCAAGGAAATCCAAGAAATTCCAGGAAGATCCAAGAATTCTAAGGCAATCCAAGAAATTCCAGTTATCTGTAGAACTGGAACATACTGCACTCCACCCAAGGAATTCCAGGGGATTCCAAAGAAATCCAAGGAATTCCAAGGAAATCCAAAGAATTTCAAGGAATTTCAAGGAAACCCAGGGTATTCCAAGGAATTTCAGTTGTTTTTATACCAGAATTCTGACGCAGTTTTTAATCCTTCGAATGAGTTCTAACATAGCTTCGCATGTCCAGAGACACAGCAGTGTCTTGCCCCAAGTACTCGCATGTATAGTCACAACGTCGAATTAAATTGAAACTTCGCTCACGTATCAATCAAGGACTGATAGCAATAACATAATTTGACAATCTTGTTTCATCATCCTGATCAAGATCTTCAGGATGAGCGTTCTTCCACCTCCGATGAAATGCTGAAGGCGGTTCCGCCACCAAAATTTTGAAATGTTCCTTCACCAAAACTTCTAATGTGTTTCCACTGGCTCATTGACTACAATTTCCAACTTTGCCTCACGGTATTAAACCCCGAACTGTGACTTCATATTGTTACGTTATTCGGGTGCAGAAGCGAACACGACACTATTTATTTTCGAACTGATTTATTTGAACTAAAGAAACACTAATTTATATCGAACTTATAACTACTATTTATGTAAAACCATTTATAACACGCGGTATATAACTGTCTCTCTGACACTCGCTGTTTGACTCCCCGACGGCAGTTATTCCGTTTATATATGAGATAACTAGACAGGCTTTGCTTCGAGAACCTTCTCGAATGATCTTCCGTCTCCTTCTTTTTGTTCTAGAAGCTTCTTAGAACAAACCTCTTTCTCTAATTGTTCCATCGATTATTTCCAGAACATTCCAGAATCTTCTGTGACGTTATCTGTCACCGCGGCATATTATATTGAGTGTTCGGAAATATGCTAGTGCATTGGGAGGTAGGAGAGCAATCTGGTATGCGTGATACAGGATGATCGTTGTACTCCTGCCTTCCTGCTGATGTTTCTAAAGCCCCCCCAAGGGGAATATCATTACAATATTATAACTTGCTCTAAACTCTTTTCCACAAAAAAATCATCATTTTCAGTTCAGTGACCGATTATTTCTCATTGCCCGTGGAATCTTAAATCTGCCAAAAATGGAACGGAAAAGAACGTTTGGAGCTTAATGACTGGAATTAAGGGCCAAGTCATTTCAACTAGTGCATCAGCTCTGAAGTGTCTTTATAAAGATTTTAATGAACGGGGGATGTTCTATAAGAAAGGGTGGCTGATGTGCACTTTAAAATATTAGTGCTATCAAGGAATCGGCAAACAGTCGAAGTTTTTATGCTCATTACAGATAAAATCTCGGATAATAATACCGAGTACATTATGGATAATGGAAAATGTGGTTCAAATATATTGAAACATAGTTGGAAATATTGATACACTTGCTTAGAAGATTGATTCAAACCTTCTGTCTCTGATGATTTCGATTCACACCTGTCATGTTAGAATATGTCAAATGATGTCCTCCTGTATACAGTGTGTCCCACTTACCATGCTCACCATGGGTATCTTTTTAACGGTGAGAGATACGAGAGATACGAGGTCGGTTAAATGACACCAAATGTTTTATACGCAAAAAACAGATTTTGATCATTTTCATGTCTCCTCCGTAACTTCTTTTTTCATGAAAATATTCAAATAGTAATTTCACATTCTCATGGCAGTTCTTCAAAGTGATTTCGAAAAAAATATGGCATTTGTACCAACTCTTCTAGAATTTGAGATATCAGCACCAACTTTAGTTTTTCAAATGTAGGTCAAAGCTCACTATGACTTAGTTACAAATAACTTTTATTTTCTCTTACAGATGATATGTCGCAATAATAGTTTTGTGTTGATATAACAACGGAGTTATCGTCATTTATACGAAAACAAAAAATTATTTGGAAGCCGCCATCTTGAATTTATAAATATTAACAAGAAAATCATGATCTTCGACCTCAAAAACCCCTACTCACCAATTTTGAATAGAATCGGACCAAATCCTGTCCGCCATCTTGGAGCAGCCATTTTTTTAATTTCAAAAAAAAATCCATAATGTATTGTCACCGAAATTATGAACACCTGCCAAATTTCAAGGTAATCGGAGTTATGGAATTTTTGTTGAAATTAAAAAAAATGGCTGCTCCAAGATGGCGGACAAGATTTGGTCCGATTCGGTTCAAAATTGGTGAGTGGGGGTTTTTGAGGTCGGAGATCATGATTTTTTCGTTGAAATTCATAAATTCAAGATGGCGGCTCCCAAATAATTTTTTGTTTTTGTATAAATGACGATAACTCCGTTGTTATCAACACAAAACTATTACTGCGACATATCATCTGTGAGAGAAAAAAAAGTTATTTGTAACTAAGTCATAGTGAGCTTTGACCTACATTTGAAATACTAAAGTTGGTGCTGGTATCTCAAATTCTAGAAGAGTTGGTATAAATGCCATATTTTTTTCGAAATCACTTTGAAAAACTGCCATGAGAATGTGAAATTGCTATTTGAATATTTTCATAAATAAAGAAGTTACGGAGGAGACATGAAAATGATCAAAATCTGTTTTTTTGCGTATAAAACAAAAACGAATAGGTTTTATCAAATTATTTTTTCAAATTATAGTTGGCCTTGACAAACGCCATATTTGGTGTCATTTAACCGACCTCGTATCTCTCACCGTTAAAAAGATACCCATGGTGAGCATGGTAAGTGGGACACACTGTATAATCTCGTATATAATTTTCAACTTGTTGCTTCATCTCTTTGGGAAACCAACAGTGTTTCAGAAGCAATCGAGGAAGGATAAAAGCGCCGCTTCGAATATTGAAAAATTCTGAATACTTTCGATTTTTCTTTGGAAATAACCGCGAATATACGCGTTTTCATTCTAATTTTTTTATTAGATACTATATTTGAATAGATGTAACAAAATAAATTGCGCATGCATCTTCATGGCTATACTATTTCTGTTTTAGAAGAGGGTGTTTTCAGATTTTTGAACCGACGTTTCGTTATTGACCTGTCATCATCAACTTTTAAGAGCTTTAAATCTCCTAAAATCAACTGTGAATCAGCACTTATTTACAGTTGCAACTGTAAAATAGGCAAATTTTTGTGAAAAAATAGTAGATTGTTTTATTAGGATCAAAAGTGACACTTTGTTTGACAAGCGAATTTTGCATTTGCGAGGCGGAGCGTTTAGCGAAGCCGAGCGAAAGGAAAATTTGCGAGTCGAACAAAGTCACTTTTGATCCGAATGAAACATGCTATTTTTTCTGCAACCGAAACAATTAACTCAAATAAACTTGTGAAGTAACCACTAATGCCGTGACATATGTATGCAATGCAACAAATATTGACAAATAATCCATGTGGTGAGAATATTCTACCTGCATTAACAGCAGGTTAGGTTTTCAAGGATGTTCGAATTGTAGTTTCAATATAAATACAACCACAGAGTGACATATTTGTGTATGGACCTTGGACCAGGTGCTCTAATGGCAAATACCGCGCCAGTGCCAGCTATAGGAACAAGACGTGGAAAATGTTAGGTTAGTGAGCATATCAACAATAATAATAATAGCGATTATTTATTCCTCTCCATAATACAATGTTTTTCGCTTGATAATCAAATGAAGATAAACAATATCGTTGTTCGAGACAAAAACTATTGCTTGCCGTGATTATTCAAAAACAAGTTACCCATCCCGAGAATAACGAATGAAATACAGATCAAGCAAGTATTTGAATCTTGAATGCTTTCCTGATCAAAACAAAAATACTTAACTGAGATGTTTATAATTCCAATACTAATTTATAATAAGGTGTATTTATATCTCCAGCATCGGTATGAAATGTCAAATCTGCTGAAATCGGAAACAAATCAGGTGCGCGTCTTAACCCAAATAACCAACCGTCACAATGTTGTTTATTCTTGATGAGGTCTAGTACATCCTTTTTAGTTCCTAGGAGCTAAAGTTCAACTTTAGCTCCTAGGAACTA